CAGGGGCGGCAACAGACCTAGCCACCGGACAGGCTAGCGTGGCTGTTGTCTGCTCGCAGCGCTGCGAGTAGCGCCACAGACCTAGCCACCGTGCAAGCAAGCGTGGCTGTTGTCTGTTCGCAGGCTCGCCACAGACCTAGCCACCGAGCAGGAAAGCGTGGCTGTTGTCCGCTCGCAGCGCTGTGAGCAGAAGCGGCAACAGACCTAGCCACCGTGCAGGCTAGCGTGGCTGCTGTCTGCTCGCAGCACTGTGTGTAGAAGAGGCCACAGATCTAGCAACCTAGCAGGCTAGCGTGGCTGTTGTCTGCTCGCAGCGCTATGAGCAGAAGCGGCCACAGACCTAGCCACGGGGCAGGCTAGCGTGGCTGTTGTATTCTCGCAGGCTCGACACAGATCACAATTGTACAGGCTCGACACAGATCACAATTGTACAACTACACCACATGTGGTAATTTTGTTGAATAAATTGAATTGAATTGACCTAGCTACTGGGCAGGATAGCGTGGCTGTTGTCTGCTCGGAGGCTCGTCACAGACCTGATTGATTTTTCGGGCAATATTTTTGACTTCTCTGGCATTTTCGCCAGAGAAATCAATGCCAGAGAAAGCAAAAAGTGGTGATTATTTAGAATAACCCTTAAACCGTAAAAGCGAATATAATCGTAATTACACAACCAGCTCACCACCCAAAAAGCTACGTATCTTTAACAAAATCACAACATTATGACTGATCAATTAATTATTAACTTTACCAGAGAAATCAAATGTATAGGTGTACCAAAGCCAGAATAACACTTGATTACCTCGATGAATCCAAAATGTAACATCGAGTCACGAGCGCACACACCGCTGCTGCGGCGTTACTGACTCTTTTGAGTGGCCGGGATGCCGACAACGTACCTACAAAGACTAGTGATGTGTGCGATGTTTTTTTACGCGCCAGAGAATCCTAGGATTTTACTCGGACAGAGACATTTTATTCTGTAACTCGCTAAACTGTCATAAGTATGGTTAAATATTAATTGTAGTTAAACTAGAACATATAAAAGGTCTGTGAACATCGTCACAAATTCGTATCATAAATAGTTATCGAAATATAAACCCATGAATGTAGCAAGTCAGCTTTCGGACACGCCAGAGAGCGTCAATTTGGGGGGCATAAATATTTTTTATAAAAAAAGCGTAATATCCCTATAAATTTAGATTGCTTCTCCAATCGCAGTAATAGCCGTAGTAACCATATAAAAAATACTGTTCCTCTATAATAGCAAGATGTGCAAATTTTAGGCCAAGACAGTGATTTCTCTGGTGCTGAAGAAAGACCCTTTAGTCGCTTTTTACGACACCCAAGGGAAAGATCATTATGCTATTTTACAGAGTGAAATTTTACAAGTGACCGATAGCGAAATCTCAGAACCGGCTAGGCATGTGATAAGGAACAACTTTCCCCAAGGAACATGGGCGAAATACGAAAAAACAAATTTTGTCCTCCCATATAAAATTGCCGATTAGCTAATTCGTGTTACTATGGGAGCTCCAAATTTTTTTTTCCAGATTTCGATCTACGTTCCTTGGTTACAGTTGTTCCTCATCAGCCGGTTTTGCGTTTTTGCTATCGGTCACTAGTAAATTTCACCCCATGCATCAGACGGCTATGAGCGGCTATGCATGACATGCAACGAGATTGTGTGTAGATTGCCATCTAAGTAATCTTAGACAGCAACGGTGACCGACGGCTAAACTTGCCCTCCGACGCACGCAAAGATACTTCCAGAAAATTCATTCTGTGTCCAAAACCAAAATTTTCTCGAAAGTCACGTGTCAGCCTCACGTGACTAGATAACTCGGGTTCAAAATAACTTATTTACAACGTTACTCTCAAACGAATATAGTCCTTTATGCAGTTGCATAGGGTTGATAACTGCATGCAAGTAAGCGCTCAGTTACGCTAAGTACTTTGATAAACTTATCGTAGGGACAAGCTTGAATGAATTATTGGGCGTAGGTAAATTCTAGTTTGTTGTAGAAAGTTGTTTATTTTGTAGGGTGGTTGGTATTTATAACTATTGTTTACTTGCACTGGAGAATTAGCACTAGAATTTAATTAATGAGCTGCCATACACAGATTCGAAAACTTACACAACCTTAAAAAAATGGCATACAATATACATTGAATCGAAAATTTAGGCAACCGTAAAAAATTTCATACATTGAACCTAAAATGTACGCAACCGTAAAAAATGGCACAAAATTAAATGTGTGCTTTATAGACAAACATTACACTACCGTACAAAAAATAAGCGACTTTAGAATATTTGTAAGATACCCGCTTCAATAATGCCAACTGTACCGGACTATGTCGACGTCACAGCTAACCGCCTGGTTACCAAATGTTATAGCAAAAACTATAATAGTTAAACGTAATTAGCTCTAAATTGACTGGATAAGGTACAGTCGGGTACATTTTTATCAGGTCTCAGATAAAATAAAGAAGATTGATTATTTTTACATGAAATTACCGTAGTCGGGTTATTGTTTTTAATGCTTCTGCTCGGTTTCAATTTGAAATTATTAGTTTAAAACTATTCTTACTTTACAAAAATATTTTAAAGTAAAAGAATTCAGTCTTTTAGAAGAAATAAAACGTTAACTCCATACAGGGTGATCCGAAGTTGTCAGCCTCATCATTATCATCTACCTGCCTTTATCCCAAACTAGTTTTAGGGATCCCAAACCAAACCAACCAGGGTTGTCAGCCTGTCGCCAAAAATTGCACATCAACTCGCAAAGCCTTAGTCGCTTCTTACGACACCCAAAGAAAAGATATGAAGTGATGCTATTCTAAGCCAGCACCACACGGCAAACTTCTAGTTAGAAAAATACCCACAATACAGGGTGTTAGGGACGGTGTACCGAAAACTTTGCAGGCATGATCAGACCATCAAACTGAACAACTTTTACTATGGAGCCAATGGTGGGAAACGAAAAAAAATTACCGACCTCCCATACAAAATTTACGATCAGCTGACTGACTTTGTATGGGAGGTCGGAAAATTTTTTTCGTTTCCCACCAGTGGCTCCATAGTAAAAGTTGTTCAGTTTCACAGTCTGAGCACACCTGCAAAGTTTTCGTTACACCGTCCCTAACACCCCGTATATTATGTCTAATTAGACAAAATTAATAAAATTACGTAAAATTAACATTTCCTTCCCATCTGTACCGTTCAAATATGTACTTGCACAATACGCCACGAGCAACTTTTGCATGTTTAAATCGCGTGAGTGGCGCCGGCCGCTTTCAAACAAGCGCTTACAAAAACCGGCCAAGAGCGTGACCGACGCGCCCGTATGCAGGGTTTCGTAGGCAACGTAAGATTACATATACCGGGAGTAATAGAAAGGGTATAACAAGCCGAAAGGAGGTCAAGGTACTCATGAAACTGAACAACTTTCCCCATGGAACATGGGTCGAAATATGAAAAACAAATTTGGACCTCCCATACAAAATCTCCGATCAGCTGATTGATTTACTATGGGAGGTCCAATTTTTTTTCATATTTCGACCCATGTTCCATGGGGAAAGTTGTTCAGTTTTATGACCTCAATTCAACTTGTTTATACCCTTTCTGTTACTCCCGGTATATATCAGGCCTTTATCCCACGCAAAAAATTTAAGAGTCATTCAGGAGACTGTGGTCGACATTGACTCTCAAATCCCTTAGTATTTTTTTACGACACCCACGGGAAGATATGGGGTGATACTATTCTAAGCCGCCGGCATCACACGGCACCTAACCTAAGTCGGAATCACACGGCACGAACTTTACGAAATTATTTGTAACCAAAAAAGTTATATTAAACAAACCAAGTATTCGAAACTACTATCTTGTGGTAAAAATCAGTAAAATAGTAAACATTCGAATTAAGTTATGATAAGAGTTTTTCATAGACAACGAATCCCTAAAAACTGGCCGTCGGTTTTCAATGTTTTTAAGCTGCTGCCTGTCCATAATTGGTTTATAAAAAGTCTCACGTATCGCCTTCTGCCGATATAACATAATCTTTGTTGAAATTCCAATAATTAACAATGTAAAAGTAGAATTTTATAGTTGTATGCAGTGCATGTGCCGTGTGGTGCCGGCACTGCCGGCCTAGAATGCGACTAAGGGATTTGAGATAGTAGTTTATGCGATAGGTTGACTACCTGTCACTATGGTGATACACAGTGTCCTGCATGACTCTCAAACTTTTGTCATACGTGGTGGAAATGTGCGCTTTTTACAGCTGTTTACGCTCTGCCTACCCCGCAAGGGAGATAGGCGTAATTTATGTATGTATGTATCGATTTTTAGCAGATACGATTTTCATCTAAAAAAAACAAATATTCCGATTAAGTAAAAAAAGAAAAACATTTTACAATTTTAAAATAACCGCTTTTGGCAGCCCTATCACTCTTCGCGGGGGTTGCCATGACGCCAAAAGACGCGACCTTGGCATTCAAATTTAAAAATGGAATGCGTGATAAGATAACAGTTCAATGACATTATAGTTTTAAACTGAGTCTATCTTTGTTATCAGCCTTATCGTTAATACGTTCTTGCATGAATAAATAAGTGGAGATAACTTGAAAAAGCAATTTATAAGTAGCATGCTATCACACTGCTCATAATGTAAATTTTTGGGTTTTCTGGTCTACTACTACTAACCCATAAACCCATTTGCCGTGTGGTGCCGGTTTAGTCTAGCATCATAAACCCATATCTATCCCGTGGGTGTCGTAAGAAGCGACTAAGAGATTTGAGAGTTGATGTGGTTTGCAATTTTATGCGATAGGCTCACAACCAGTCACTATGGTAATATGGTGATATACAGTCTTCTAAATGACTCTCAAACTTTTGTCAGACATATTAAGTAGGTACACCTATGTGTTGGAATTTTTAATGCACTCACAGCGCTATATTATTCTCATAAATTGAAAATGAGAAAATTGAAAAATTCACTAGTGACCGCCGGGACTAGAACCCGGGACTGTGATCAACGTTCCACCACTCTGCCAACTGAGCTACGGGCGCCTAGCCCCCGGCATTCCAACAATACTAAAGTAAAATTGGGACACCCTGTATATGATCACGTCAAAATAGCGTGGCACAACAAAACACATGTCCTCGCATACTTTTGTTACGTAAGGTAAGTGATACAAATAAGGCCTACCTAATTTTGAACCCTTTTAACTTGTTAATTAAGTACTTATACAATCGTAGAAATTATCTAATACATATGGTAGTTCATAAATTACGTGTACACATTAATAAATTAAAGAAATATTGTGCAATTATAGATCAAAATAAACAAACTCATAACCACTGCTTTTGGCCATATTAAATCATGTCTATTTAATAAGGCCTATTACCTTACTTAAAAAAAAATATAGGGAAATAAAGATATTTTAAAGAAAAATACAGTTAATTTGCAATGAACAGCCTTTATTTCGTATGTAAGCGAAATCTTATGACGATTAAACAATAAAAAGATCATTTTAATCAGTCATCTTACTTTTTAAGCTATACTAAGAAAACAAAACATTATATCCAAAAAATTAAACATTAGTAGTAATAAACTAAACAAAAGTATCGTAACTTCGAAAAAAATATCAAAATTTATAACAAAATCTCAAAAAGTAGTAGGCCTTATTAAAACATAGTGCTTTAATAAGGCCATCACAGCGAAAACTAATAATTATAACTTGAATTAGCCATAATTCACATAACATTAAGTGACAATATCAATTTTTATCACAGTCTGGACATGAAAATGGTTAAGTATCATCTATGGTAAGTCCAACACAAACCTCATAAAACCATCTAGCAAGTGGAAGAAACAGTCTCTGCCTACCCCCCCAAAAAAAAGGCGTGATTCAAGCATGTATGTATGTACGTATCACTTCTTTGTACTCTAATTATATGCAAGATATGTAATAAGGCCTGCCGGTCAGGAATAAGGCCTACGGGTCAGAAATAAGGCCTACAAGGCAGGAAAAAGGCCTAGGCCTTATTTGTAGATTGCATTAATTTAAGGTTAGGAATTCGTAAAAATGTAGTAAACTCTAAATAACTCATTTCATAGACAAAAATGGAACAAACATATACTAAAGTACAGAATACCTATGGTGAAATTAACAAAATAACTGAATATTGAATGAAAAACTTAACATAAACACGTGGAAATTTTACGGAGCAGTGTGACACAACCATTCTCCAGCAAGATCGCGTCCGCACTAACACAACCAGCGAGCGCGAGTTGCCCGCGCCCGCTGTATTCGTTCATTGCGCTAATGAGAATGTGTGCGTGAGCTCACTAACACGGTAACTGTTTTTTTCTAGATTTCTAGCGTATTAGGCCTTATTCGAGCATAGGCCTTATTTGTATCAAGTACCTTATTTTTATAGATGTCTGGTTGATATCTTATCTGTTACCAAATGGAAAGTCCGATAGATAAGTGTACAAAACTAGAAGAAAGACATTTTAGATACCTACCTACGTTATTTTGTTGCTATAAGCGATTTTCAATTTATTTTTACTGGTATCTACTTATATACCGTGTTTCGGAGGAAATAGCGTAGTACTAAAAAAACATTATTGGACCGATGCTATGAACCAAAGAGATAAAAATTTCGACTACTCAAACATACCACACCGACCGACTTTGTATTTTGTATGGGAAGTCGTTTTTTTAGCACTGGTTGTATGAAAGGATCAGTACGTACGATACAACGTGCTTAATTTAATACAATTACTCCGAAACACGGTTTAAGTATGTATATTACTCCACCGATTCAACCAGCCAATTGCCAGCCTCCCACCCAATAACAATAACCATGGCTCTCGACAGTCAATAAGTTGGTTTACAGACAACTTATACAGATACGAAAATAAATCCATATCAATGTCAAGCCAATTGAAGGTGAACGACACATCTTAACCAATAAGTACAGGCGGCCGCTTAAAAAATATGTACGTACAAGTGAAAACAAAATTTAAATTTTGAAAATACCCATGACAGTTTACTGCAGCTCCCCCTGGTGAGTAGTTCGCGTAACACCTAGCTCAAAACATTCCCCAGTTAAATTTGCATCAATCACTGAAAACCGCATTAAAATAAAACCAGTTGTTTTCGAGATCTAGACACACGGCAGTGTGTCCGCCAAGTTCGAGCAAAGAACCGACACACCGGCCGTGGGTTATATTACACGAACCATTTCGGGCCAAGTTCGACCCACCTATAACTCAAAATCTATTTTATCTACGCATATGAAATTTCTACCATCTGTCGAGATCTACTTACTTATCTAAAATACAAAATTTCATTAATATACCTATTGTAGGTCTTGAGATATTGACGTCAGAAAATCGCTATTTTTACTATACACTCACTGACTGACTGACTCACTCACTCACTCACTCACTCACTCATCAAAAACCTAGACCACTTCCAATGGTCGTATTGACTTGAAATTTGACATGGAGGTAGGTCTTTAGGTCAAGGTAAAGGAAAAAATCTGAAAATGGCCAAGTGTGAGTCGGTTTTAAAAATAATGAAGGTGTAAATTCATACCCCTAAGGAACTAAAACAAAAAATTTATCTATATCTTCCAATCGTCGTACCGACCTAAAATTTGTTACGAAGGTTTGTATTTAGTCAAAGTAAAGTATAAATGAGATATTTCCTTACCTAACTTAATCATAAGAAAAAAAGAAAATAAACCTTACAAAAATAAATGAAATCCCACCCAAAACATAAATGTGAAAGGCTGCCAAGTTCGATAATATTGGAATGCTTCGCCTATAAAAGAAGTGAGATCTAAATAAGTACCAAGTTCCATACACAGACCTCAGTTAAAAATAGTTACAGGAATGCACACTTGATTTTTCGCAGTTTGGAAATTACTTTCCAAACTGCGAAATTACTTACAAGTTTATAAACATGTTTAGTAAGACTTTATTGTACAACTGTTTGGTAATCCAAATAAAAAGAAAAAAAACGGCCAAGAGCGTGTCAGACACGCTCACAAATAGGGTTTCGTAGTCAACGTTTAAATATCAGGTTTTTCAGAGTTACAAAGTTAATTTTGTTGCTGGTTTGTTTGCAGCTGTATGGTTACCAACCGCAAATTGAAAAACTTTTATTTCTATTAAAACTTTAGTGATACAGTATCCGTTATAGTTTTCATGGTATCTTCAGATTGAGAAGTGTATGTAACTTTTTTTTCAAATTATTACAGCTGTAACAAATTATGGCTCATAAACGCCCCTTTTAAAAGCAAATATCTCGAGACAGAAACATTTTAGTGACTTTGTTCCAAAGAAACCTCCCCTTACTTTTGAAAGACCTATTCAACGATACCCTATTTAATATTACAGGAAAAAAAAAAATTTTGCCCCCCTTTCACTTGTATGTATGGGAGGGGTCCAAAAATCATTTGAAATATTTTTTTCTCAACATTTCTAAATTTGGGTCAACACGATCTATCTTCATACCAAATTTCATTTTGATAGCTCCAAAATTGACGGAGTTATGAGGGCGCGGCATACAGACAGACAGACAGACAGACAGACTTGGCGAAACTAGGGTTTCTAGTAGACTACGAATCCCTAAAAACATCCATCGCGTTCATCAGCAACAGATCAACCTATCCGTTTTAACTTAAAACTTTTAAGGTGGATCGTTTTCCATACAAAATTTAAATGGAGTTACGTCTTTAAATGAGACAAAATTATGATTAAAAAACTTGATGGGAAGTCCCGTGCTTTTATAACATTTTCGCAAAATAAAACAAATAATTTTTTAACCATCAGATTTCTCTGTAAAAACCGTGTCGCCACTTAATGAACATAGATGGAGCTACTGCTGCAATAAACACGTTTAATTTTTTTGTGGAGAAAATACTTGATATTTTTTTACGTTAAGCAGTTTTGCGACATATTTACGTGTGCCTTCCTCATCTCACATAAAGATTTTTTGATAAAATTGTTGTTTAGCTCATGTGTAACTCGGTTGAAGTTCAGATTTTAGTTTGTATGACGTAACGATCCCCCTTAAGGGACCAACCTTAGAGTATCTAGGGACCAACTGATTGATGATCATTTATGGTATCAATCTATACTTACCTACTGGTTTTTAAGGCGCCGTATCCAATGAGTGAAAACGGAATCCTGTTACTGAGACTTTGCTGACTTTGCTGTCTATCCGTACGTCTGTCCGCTTGTAACCAGGCTGTATCTCATAAAACGCTACAGTGTAAAGAATTAAAATTTTCACAGATGTCGTATTTCTGTTGTCGCTTTTACAATAAATACTAATTAAAAGCTTTTAAATATAAAATTAAATAAAAATCAAGAAGGCTTCCATTAAAAAACATGTTTTTTTGCCCGATTTTAGCTATAATGGCTCGGAGGTTGTATCTGATGAACAGTAATAGTTATTTAATACATCTGCTTGTTAGTGTTATGTCGACTGTACCTACCACAGCTACAACTCTGAGATATACAAGAGATTGGGTTCACGATAGTTAGACTATAAATAAAATTGATATAAAACACTGAAAACAAAACATACCTACTGTATTCTCAACATAAAGCAGGGCAACAATTTTTCTACGCGTTCCAATTATTCCCTGAAACTGAACAACTTTCCCAAATGAAAATATAGAAAAACATCACGAGTAGGGTGACCATGAATCACATAATGTCGTAATTTCAAGTAAATTTTTCCTTTTTTACGTTAACAATGACGTTTTTTGACGTTAGGTGTATTGTTTTCCTTTTATGAAAGGAATTTCGTGTTACTAAGTAAATTAGTTTTACGATTGCGGTTTTTTGTTATGTATATCATTGAACTTGGTTTTAACAATGACTTTTTTATGAGGATATTGTGTAAAATGAAATTTACGAGTTTTGAGTACGTACCTAACAATGAAAGACAGACATTAATTTTCATAAAGAAAACTCGAAACACGAAAGAGAATTTGGACCAACATGAAAAAATATTGTTCGTTATAGGTATGTTTGTAAGTAG